CGGCCGTTACGCTCGGGGCTCCGCGGGGAGCCGCGGCCCGGGTAGTTCATGGTGCCGGGCCGCGCGCCGAGCCGTGGCCCCCACAGCTTCCGCCTCACATTCAACGCCGCCGCCCTCTCCGCCCGGGTTTTTAATCTTTCAAATCCCGGACAGAGCTGCGGCGCCGGCAGCCGCGGCGATAGCTCCGCCCCCCGCGTTCGAAGAGCCGCCCATTGTCACGCAGCCCGGCGTGGGCGGGGCTCGGGCAGGCCCCGCCCCGAGACCCGCCCCGGAAGTCTGTGCGGCGCAGAGCCCCGGCCTCTGTTCTTCCCTCCCTCCATCCTTTCCGTCTTTCGGCTCCTCCGCCCGGACGGCGGGGTCAGCCCTGGTCTCCATTCGGCCTTTTCCTGCTCTCCTCCGTCACCCCGCCGCCCGTCTCGCTGCACAGCTGCCTCGGCCCGGTTCTTCTGAAGTCCCGAGCCCAGCTGTGGTGAGGCTTTCCCCAGCCCATCCTGAGCCTGCAGGCTTCTGCTGCGGTCCGGAGCCGCCTGCAAGTGGCTTGCCCGCGTTCTCCTTTTCCTGAAGAACATACTTGTGATACACAATGAGTACATTTATTGTGGAGAGTTGGCACGGATACATACTGCGTCTTAATCCTTTCTACTTTCTTGCCCGCTTCCCTTCCTCCCCTCTCCATCTCTAGATCGATCCCCTTCCTGTCTCCAAGGTTCTATCTCCGTTTCCAACCTTCCACGTCTGATTTGTTTCACTTAGCATTATGGTCTGAAGGGGCATCCATTTTCCTGCAGATGACTAAAATGTGTCCTGCTTCATGGCTAAGTAGTATTTCACTGTGTACATATCCCGCCTGCAGACTCACCTGACCTTCTCAGTCACCCGCCTCTTCTCAGTTACGGGGCTCCGGTCCCTACAGAATTGCCGGCTGGCTGGAGGGCACTCCGCCTCACGCCTACTGCTTCCTGGGCCTCACCGCACCCACTCAGAAACTGGACTCTTAACCTGCCCTTCTGTGCCGCCTGTTACTGCTGATCTGTCAGTAATTTCCTGTTTTCTCAAATTCCTTGTAAAACCCTTGATGGACACAAGTCAATGTCTCAACCCTTCTCCACACAGTAGGAGCAGAACTCGTGTATACTGATTATGATGGCACGTCTGGACGCACAGGTGTGGCAGAAAGCTTATTAGAGTGAAGGGCAGAAGAGCAATTGGCTTCTAGATCCAGTTTTGCTAATACTCCTGGGGAAATCACCTAACCTCATTAATCTTAAATTTCTTTATCAGCAAACTGAAACATTGTGGGACAAGATGCTTAGTTCCTTCCAGCAGATTCTGTGATCTGTAAGGTTTCTTCCAGTGTTTTATGCACTTCTGATTCTATAGCTCACTCTTCTGGGACGAGGCTGAATGAATACTCAGGCTCCCTTCCGTGGTTCTCTTATATTTAAAAAAATATTTTATTTATAAGTCCATCACCCTATGTTACGAATCCAGAGAAAAATAACCTCCAGCTTCGGTGCTCTCAATTAAAAAATATTTTCACTGTTCCATTACTCCCTCTGTGATGGCATCAGGTTTGTAGGGTAATATTTCCTGATTACCTTAGAGATTCTTTGAAGTCATTATTTAAATCAGGACCATCCATGTGTACAGTGCTTTTGTAGGAACTGGGGAAAGAAGGCACTGCTCCCTTTAGACAGGTACAAAGGAATGTGTGGTTCATGGCTTGGTGAGTGGAACGTGGGCTGGGTTTTCTACCCCAGTTTGTACCTCAGGGTGGTTGATCTTGTGCAATGAGAAACCTGTCTAGCTGTATACTACAGTCTGATTCAAAGAACTCTCTTCCATACATCATGGTTTCTGAGGGCTTGCTCCCCGACTTCGTTTTTATTAAGATGTGAAATATAAAATTATCTATGAGCTTTGATCTATTTGCTAGCGATGAGAGCATTATCCCCACAGTGTTAGATAGCCAGGCACCTCTGATACTAAAGAGAACAGGAGAGACTTAAATTCCTTCTTCAGCAACATACAACCTAGTGTGGCTGCAAAAAAGTAAACAAATACAGCATAATACAGTGTGAAAAAATATTATGAGGATTAAAATAATCATTTAAAATATCTCTATTCCTTTATGCTTCTTAATTGAATGTAGCCTAATTATGTAGCTGCCTGGTCAGGTTATTTTAGCTAAATTTTAACTCTTAAGGATGATACAATTCCCTTTAGTGAGTATTACCCACTGTAGAAAAAACTCACTCCTTGTATTGAAGGCATATTTTTGTACTTTGAGTGTTGTGCTTTTTTGGTAATTTTGAGACTATTCTCATGTGGTTCAGTGGGGGAGGCCACGCTCAGAGGCATGATCTTTCCTGAAGGAGCTTTTGATTCTCAGAGTAGTCCAGGTGGCAGGGAAAGGCATCTCAGACTGTCTTTTGACCTAGCTCTTGGTCAGGGGAGATGGTAGTCAGTAGTTGTGGGAGTGGAGTTTGCATTGGCTCCCTGGGAGTGTGCTGGCTTGTAGTTGGCCCCAGGCAGTGAGCAAAAGATCTTTGAAGGTATAGTGTCGAACTTCATGAGATACATGTGTTTATTTCCCTTTTATTTTCTAGCCATCTCAAGGCAAAGGTCATGAAGTTACTCGTCTCGGTTTTCTTTGCTGCTTTCAAAAGTCATCCTCCCACTGAGGCTCCCTGCTATGATCATTTTGCTTTCTAGAACTTCTTTTCAGGTTGTGTGATTCTGATGAGTGGGACAAGGGTTGGTGCCTCCATTCCATTCCCCAGCTGCTAAAATAGGTGTGAGGTGGCTCCTTACCACCTACATTATTACTGCGCTCCCTGGACATGGCACTATCTGAAATTTCATGGCTCAATATAAAGCATTCTATTCTAATTTAATAATTACCCAAGACCAGGCCTCCTTCCCATACGGAAAATATACATGATTGATTCAGGTGCATGGCATTCATGAACCTGGGCAGCTGTGAAAATCAGACCGATGTGGAACTAGACCTGTAGGAGTTCTTGGTGTAAGAGAGCAAAAGAGGTCAAGCCAGCTTGTTTTTACTACAAAAAGACATAGCTCAAACACACATCATCCCATCCTCCCTTCCCCATTAGACGTGGGAGAAGCTACCTGCCAACAATGGCCGTCTCCCCCTCCCACTTCTCAAAAGTGCTATGGTTCAGTTTCTTTTCCTTTTCTTCTCCCTTAAAGCTTGTTCCTACTGATCATCCTGACCTGTTTTCAGCTGTATACAAATGTTGGGGACAGAGCCAGTATCGCACACTCACACTCAGAAGGGCTTCATCCAAAGTGTTTGGTGCAATACCTACCCTTAGAATGAAGAAAGGAAGATGGTACATAACCAGCTGCCCCACTTGCTGTATCTCCTGTTCGATGAGCCACTGCTTATCTTTTAAACTTTAGAATGAGTATTTATCCCATTTTGTAAACTGAGAGTGTGTTTTTGGTGCACTGGTGAACTAGAACAACATGTTCCACTGAAGCAGTGAACATTCGCTGGACATATTCGAGGTGTCTGCCAAGTTTCATGCACCCTGCTGGGTTCCACAGCGTAGCATTCACAGTCTTGCAGTATCTTTAAATAAAACCGTAATGCCAACTCTTGCATTCCTGGGAGGACTATAATTGGAATGGTAGTGTAGCTACATCATCACATAGAGGTCGTTCTCTCCCAAGAGGCAAATTAATAGAGGAAACTAAATTACACTCTAAAGGGCACTGGTGAGCAGAAATAACATAGGAAAATATAATGAATAAAATCATTAATTGTTCCACTTATTCAGTCAACACAGATTTTTCTAATACTCTTCTAAAGCTGTGTTTAAGCCGGGATTGGTGGCACACAGCAGTAATTTCAGTACTCTAGGAGGTTGAGGCAGGAGTATTGCAAGTTGGAACCCAAATCTGGACAACTTAGCAAGACCTTACCTCAAAATTTTTTTTAAAAATTCAAAAATAAAAAGGGCTAAGGGTGTAGCTGAATGCCAAAGCCCTGAGTTTGATGCCCTGGCCCCCACAAGTTTTTATTTTTAACAAATCATTTAAAGTTTAGTGTTATCAAATGTATGTCTTGTTTTTTTCTTTTTTTCTTTTTGTCTTTTTGAGACAGGGTCTCACTATGCAGTTCAGGCTGGCCTTGAGCTCACTTTATAGCCCAGGCTGGTCTGGAACCGACAACGATCCTCTTGCCTCAGCCTCCTGACTGCTGGGATCAAAGGCATGTGCCACCACACCTGGTGTTTCAAATGTGTCTTTTTCAAGGACTTATGCACAAAACTGTATTTGCCAGTACCCCATAAAGATGTCTTGTATTTCATTTGGAAAAAATTGAGTGATGTTGAAGGCATATGTTCAAAGGAATGACAATGTAAATCAATACCCTACTGATGAATATTATATGGGGGCAGTCACAAAACCCTCAGCAGCTTTTATGTATTAGAAAGAGAAGATTTGGCTATGTTCCTGCTCTTTCACTATAAAAACATGAACTAAGCCATAGTCTACTACAAAGTCTACTGTGAGTCCATTTGATGACTTTTGTGGTGTAGGTAAACTGAAACTACGTATTTGTTCGCAAAGTATATAACTCAATAGGAGCTTTCAAAAAAGTAATTGATGATCATGATAATGTGCTGAAGAAGGTTTACAAATAGCATCTTGTATATGTGTATTTTATTCTGATTTTTATACAAGAAGGAAAGAAGAGGAGCTCTGCTCTGATGGTGGTTTCCAAGCTTGTACCTCTGAGTAATTTGCTCAGTTTTTACTGTGGCAGTATTGACTCATTGTTATTGCAACTGCTACTTTATTAAGTGTGTTTGTGCATACATCATGTCAGCATTGCAAATTTGAGGTTTCAGCTTGAACAAAATATTCTAGATTCACAAGCCCACAAACGCTTCTGTTGTTCTATTGGGTTTTGAACCATATTAGCCATTAGCATGCACTCACTAATAAATTAAAAGGGGATGGTAGGACTGCAGAATTCTTTAGAAACTTAATCCTTAAGATTAAACAACCTGTATATTAATAAACAAGTAACGGACCTTTCCTTTGGAATTCATTCTTCCTTTTGTAAGTGTAGAACTTCAAATTAACTCTTAATAATCAAGGAGAGCTTACAGTCCTTCATTTTATTATTAACATTATTCTCCTGAAATTGTGAACTTTGATCACTCAGATGTCTTAGTCTGTTTTCTGTTGCTACAACAAAATACCTAAGACCAAGAAATTTGTAGTAAGAGGCTTCTTTTGGCTCACAGTTCTGGAGGTGGGGAAGTCCAAGAGCATGTGCCTGTTTGGCTTCCGATGAGGGCTTTGAGCTCGCTCATATCATGGTGCTGCCTCATATCAGGGTGGGGAAAGGGAAAGGGGAAGCAAGTGATTTTCATATGTCCAGGAGAGACCTCCAGGAGAGGTGCCAGGCTCATTTTATAACAAGCC